GAGGCTCTGGGTTCCATCCTCAGTGTGCGTATGTGCACACACGCACACGTGCACACACACACACACTCAAAGTGTGCGTCTTTACAAACAAGAAACAAACAAAAATACTGAGCTCTAGACCTTCTCCTCACAAGTCAGCCTTTCCTCCCTCCCATCCCGCGCTCTCTGGCTGCCCCTGCCCCGGCCCACGCTGAAGCTGCATCCGAAAAGAGGAGCCCGGGCTCCCTGCCTTCCAGCCCAGGTCTGAAAGGGGCTGTGGTGTGAGTCCATGTCCAGAATCTGAAAGCAGGAAGCAGCCCCGTTTTGAGGAGGAGCCGGGCTGAAGGCTTGAGCTCCAGTCTCGGGGATGGGCTGCAGCCTTGGTTTGAAAGGGAGAAAGGAACCCTCTATTTTACACGCATCCGGACTCCGGGAGGTGGAGAAAGACGGAGAAGTAGTCAAGTCCGAGGAGGGGAGAAGGGCTGCCTGAGCTTCCCAGCATGGCTCTCTCCCAGGGCAGAAGCTTAGAGGCCGCTGCCTTGATCGCGGAAGGGTTAGAGCATTTCGCTGGTGGACGCCGCCACGTGTCACTCTCTCTACCGCCACTACCCATCCCAGTCTCACACATTTTGACCTGAGGAAATAACCCGCAGCACTGATTTCTGATGCTCATACTAATGTCTTTTAGACTGGAGTTTCCCAAACAAAATCGTATACCACCCATGTTTATGATTTCAACCCCCTAGTGAAAAGAAAGCGGCAGTAAACATAGACATGTACCCCTCTGATCCATACCAGCCGAGCTGGCCTCGCTTTGAGCAGTCACCAAAGACACAGTGAGTGGAGTATTTGTGGTGTGCTCATGCCCATCATGAGTACGGCCCAGGGGTGTTAAATCGCATTATGTGCTCACTTTGGCATCGTTCCAAGCAACAAACTTCTCGAAATCACGGGTTTGATGGATTAATTATGCTTTTTCTAATACATAGTAAAACCTCAAAGATAGCCATTATGGTAAAAAGTTGTCAACCGCTAGTAGGATTTTTACTACCTAACCACGGGTGGCAATTGTACATTTTTCGGAAACACTAGTTTAACTGAATAGCGCTTCGAGCCAGATCTGGTGGCGCACATCTGTAACCCCAGTTAAACAGGAGAATGAAGCAGGAGGATCGAAAGTTCAAGGCCAACCTGGCAAACTTAGCCAGATGCCATCTCACAATAAAATTTAAAAAGGGCTGGAGGCATAAAAATCTCAGTGACAGAGTGCTTGCCTAGCATATGAGGCCCGGAGTTCAATTGTCAGCACCACACACACATACCTACCTACATACACTACTCTTCTTTCTTTCTTTCTTTCTTTCTTTCTTTCTTTCTTTCTTTCTTTCTTTCTTTCTTT